TGTGTATTGTGTGTGTTGTGTGTGTGTTGGGTGTTGTGTGTGTGTGTTGTGTGTGTTGTGTGTGTGTGTGTTGTGTGTGTGTTGTGTGTGTTGTGTGTTGTGTGTTGTGTATTGTGTGTGTTGTGTCTGTGTTGGGTGTTGTGTGTGTGTGGTGTGTGTTGTGTGTGTGTGGTGTGTGTGTGGTGTGTGTGTTGTGTGTGTGTTGTGTGTGTGTTATGTGTGTGTGTTGTGTGTGTGTTGTGTGTGTTGTGTATTGTGTGTGTGTGTTGTGTGTGTGTTGTGTGTATGTGTGTGGTGTGTGTGTTGTGTGCCTATACATATGTGTTTGCGTGTGTTTTGCTGTGTGAACATGTATGTTTCTGGGGAGAGATGCCACAGCTTCTGGAAGGTTTTCAAAAAGATACATGACCTCAAAATATAAGAAGAACTGCTTCTCCTTCTGACCTGGACTGGCCGTGTGGTGGTTCCTGCTGAGGAGGGGCACCATGTCTTACCCGCAGTAGCCTCCGGGGTCCCTCGAGAAGCCTGACGACCCTGTTCCTCAACCTTCCGGGGAGGAAGAGAAGACTCGTCAGGAACAGGACCAAGAGGGAGTGACTTTGGCCACCTCAGCCGATTGGGAGGCCTGGGGTGGGGGTAACAGAGCATCCCCTCCCCAACCCCCACTCTGAGGCTAAAACCCCAGGGACCCATCACCCTCAGCCGATCAATGAGCCTAATGACCACATCACCTAATGATTAATTTTTCTAAAGATACAGTTTCCAAACACTCCTGTCGATCAATTTTACAGCCTTTTCAAATACAATAGGATAATGTCAGCCTATAATGGGCCTTTTGTGGCATCCCTTTTTCGTGGTTGCTTGCCTAGGAGTCATTCGCAGAATATTTTTAATCTATTTATTTTAAAGATACAAAATTTTTTTTATATTTTGTGACAAAGGCATGCTAAATTGGAAAGGAGAACAGCAAAAGGAGATGCGTGTATTTAGAGGAGATAAATGAGCTGAATGGCACATAAAGTATGTAAATTTGGTAAACATTTATTAGAAACGAGAACTGAAAGTAGAGGTGCCCATAGGCAGATGGACTAGAAAAGTCTGGAAATGTTTGCGAGGAGGCAAAATAGCAGTTTCCATCCCTTTGTTAATTTTTCCATCCGAAGCAAAGTGGTGAACGTTTGATGTTCGGGAATTACTGGCAAATGTGTCCTTCGGCAAATGGGATGAGGTGAGATTAACTTAAAACCCCTGGGAAAGGCCCCGCCCCATGAGGGGAAACCCCGGGAGGCCGGAGGCATCAGGACAAGCCCCGTGGCCGCGTCCAGGGGGAGCTTCTCCAAATAACCAGCGATAACCCTGTTAAGCAAGAGGAAGATATTTCGTGCTGGAGAAGGTCAGTGGGCAGAAGTGGCATCTAGGGCTTGGGGAAACCCTGCTCCAGGAGGGGACAATGGCAAGGAGATCTGCAGACCCCCTCCCTCTGGAGAGCCCTACTTTCTCCTTCAGTGAGTTACTAGGCTGGTTCTTGAATTTCATCTCGGCAATCAGGAACCTCCGCTCAACGTAAACTGCATGACAATGGGGACCACATCTGCCTTGTGTATATGAGTTTGCCAGGACCTAGCAGAGTGCCTGGTACACAGTAGGCGCTCAATGAATAGCCCTGGAATAAAGGGACAGAGAGGAGGTGGTCTTAGAAGCGTGGCAAGAGCATGGGCTTTGGAGTCAGAAAAGTCTTGGTTCTAATCTCTGCTCTGCTACTTCCTGGCTGTGTGACCTGAGAGCAGTTACTTAACCTCTCTGAACCTAGGCTCCTCCTTTGTAAAATGGAGATGAGGATACTGCTTTCCCAGCCACAGTATTGTAATCACAGCTCAAGGTAAAAATGTGCATCTTGCTTAACTCCATTCCCAGCACAGGCAAGCACTTGATAAACATGAAACTAAAAGAATTAGGTTGGTCCACAAGAGACCCTATGGGCAATCTGAAAGTCTTCAGACCTGGAGGCTCTTATGGGTGTGTTCCCCTCTCCGGGTCCCCGGCTCCCCCGGGTAAGCTGGAGGGGTTGATGGCAACCGCAGCTGCTTCACCAGGCTGCCCAAAGCACCCCAAGGAAGGAGCCGCGAACGATCCACGGCGCCTCAGTGGTAAGCTTGCAATAGAGGATAGCCAGCGTGACTTTCTCGGCACTTGCCCACACCAGCACTTGCCCTCGGGACAGCCGTGCCTGCCTCTTGGTTCTGAGCCACCATCTGAGCAGCTCTCTGCTGTGCCGGCCTCGTGCAAAGCCCTTTAGCTGCACCATCCCGGAGTGCCCCACGCTCCTGGGGCACCGAGCACGCGGTGTGCACGCGGCGTGAGCTCGGTCTCATCCATAGTTGATGACTGTCTCAGCTATGATCGATAGCCAGAGCCAGCTCGGTCGCCTCGCTGAGGATGGAAACCATTTCCAGGGCCTCTCTTTGTGAGCCTGGGAACTGCCGGCAACCGTACCAAGAGGGCAGAGGGCAGGGAGGAGGTCCCATGGCGGCCATGTGAAACAGGGCCGGATGCCCATCCATCACCGGCCAAATGGAAGTGCCAGGAGCCCTGCCAGGGGCCTCCATCACTGTCACGGGGGATGAGAGGCTGTACGGCCTCTTGTGGAAGTGGGGGTTGTGGGGCTGGCAGAATGGACTGTGGGAGTCGTGGTGGGGTGGGGAGGGCAAGCCTGCCCAGGGCACAGGGGGCCCTCTGGGCAGGGAACTCTCCCCCCAGACCCTAGCAATCCTGGGGAAACAGACCCCCAGGACTCAGAAGAGTCCCTCAGGCCAGTCCTGAGCCACAATTTCCAGCAGAGAGAGAAGAGGCAGCATGATGCTTCTAAGGCCAAACAAGCCTCTCTGAGCTGGAGCCCATGTGGGAGGCAGCTTGACTGGCCAGCCCGTGGCTGAAGATGACCACTAGGGACGAGGGTGAAGGGGTGTTTATGCAAGGCATTCTCCTCGGGGTTGGACATTTAAAAAACAAATGAAGCCGTTGACAGGTCTTGGGATGTTTCACATCCGCACCCTGGATAGACCATCTCGAAATCCATCCCGAGGCTCTCCGTCTGCAGCCCAAGCAGTTTGGAGAAACCACAGGGCCTGTGTGGGGCGGTCGCTGTTAGAGCTGAAAAGTCAGGGAGGGAACATGACTGGGGTCTTCCCGGGATGAGGATAAAGTGACAGAAACCTTCTGACTGGGAGAGATGCGATCCAGGGGAGGGCTACCCAGGGGCTTTGCCAACAGCAACGGATGTCTGCAGGAAACGCGCTGAGCGAACCCCTGACAGCCAGGCCCTCCGAGGCTCACGCGTGAGCTGGCTTCCACGGTCCTTCTACACTTGTAAGGCCCTCGACGACAAGCTTTGCTCAGCCCTCTGACGACATAGAGAGACTTTTACATCCATTATTTCATGATTCCCCATGATGATCCCAGGAGTGGATGTTAGCATCCCCATTTTACTGACAAGGAAACTGAGGCTCAAAGGGGTTTTTCAAGCCACAAGAAGGGACAAAGAGGCTGAGTTGGCCTGATGCTGAGCCCAGGACCCTCCACCTCCTTCCAGCTTGGGCACATCCAGTGCAGGTCTCAGGGCAGCCAGTCGCGGTGACTGGGAAGGGTGTGGAGGAACCAGTCTCCGTGGGCAGCGGGCATTTGGTCCTCTGCTGGTGGTCTCCAGGTGGGCTGACGACTCCGGGATTGTCACAGACTGGAAATGCCAATGGCACCTACAACACTGAATAATAAAGGCAAAGTCATTTCCTGTTTCTTCTGCCAACAGCCCTCAGCCAAAGCAGTGGCCACACTGACCAGGGTCTGAGATGTGGCAGGGAACAAGGTCCTGTGGTGAGCGGGTCAGTCCTGGATTCACTGGTTCGTCTGACAGCCCTGTTCCGACGTCTTTGCTGGCGGGCACTGGGGATGCAGCACGCGTGCTCTTACAGCCTCTGTGCTTCTGTTCGTGATCTGGGGGCCGGCGGGGGGGGGGGGGGGGCTCGTGCAGCAGCTGCTGGGCGGGCACTTCTGTGGGGCACTGTGATGAGGGGGAGCCAGGAAAGGCTTCTCACCACCAGGCGAGGGGCTGGGCTGAGCCTGGTCTGGAAAATGAGGAGCTTTCATAAAGGGAAGAGCTTTCCTGGCAGAGGGAGGGTAGCCTGCAAGGGCCCCAAGACAGGAGGCATCGTGGAAAATTTGGGGAACATCAAGAAATGCAGTGAGTAGAGCAGAGAAGGGTCTTGTTAGATTTCAAACTCCGGCGCCTGGGTTTCCAGATGTTGTTGGACCCACCACTTTCCCTCCCATCTTGCTCCTTTATTGTGGCTGAAGGTAAACATCGTCTCCCCACTGCTCATGGGAAGGAGAGAGGGCCAGGCAGGGAGAGGTGGTGCTGGGGCGGGCAGGGTGGGGAAAGCCAATCAGGGGTCCCCAGGGAACTCCAGATTTCCACGTGGAAAGGGCCCAAACAGGTCAACATTGATCACCCTCCAGGGCTACCGGGTGGCGTTGTTCAGGCTGAACACTGCACAAGGGGCATCGTGGAAGGGGTGCCATTTGCCCGGAAGGCATATTTGTTTGTTTACCTTGCTGACCCCCAAAGATGAATTGTTGGTATGCCTATTATGAAAAAATGTCTGGGGTATGGCAGTGAGGTTCCTTTGTCTCATAAAATTGGTACATTGGGTCAATTGCGTGACAGACGGATGGGTGCATCAGCGAGCAGTCACCTGTCCCCTTCCCGCCGCCCTTGGGGCTCATGAGCCTGCCTCTTCTCTTTGCAGTTCTTCCTGTTCATCCTCATCATCTTCTTGGCGGAGCTCTCGGCAGCCATCCTGGCCTTCATCTTCAGGGAGAACGTACGTGCGGGGGGGCCCCCCCGTGCCCCGGCCCCCCTTCGTGGCCAGCCCCTCCCCTCCTCAGGGAGGGTCTCGCAGAGTCGGCAGCCTCTCAGCGAGCAATTCCAGCCCAAATCGTGGCCCCCCCACCCCAGCGACCCTCTTCCTGCAAGGGTTTTTCCAGAGGGCAGAATCGGAGGGTCCTTTAGGGTCTCTGCTCTTCCAAAGCAGCTGATACAACCCACACCTGATTCTGGAATCTTCCATTCCACCCCGTGCCCAGCCATAATCGTTTGACGGGCAGGGGATAGTCGGCAAGGCTATCCCCCAAGCCCTGGGATGTGTGACGTGCAGGAGGACAGAGCAGAGCCCTTTCGGTTGAGGCCCTGGCCAGTATCCAATTTGGGCAACTTGCCCTCACCAGCCACTTTTTCCGGGAGCTCCAACCACCCAGGGCACCAGCCCCCTCCCCTGAGTCTGTAGGAGCCAGGCACGGCAGCCACAGGGGGCCTGGAAGCAGGAGGGGGAGGGAAAGAGAGGCGTGAGGGGTCCGGAGACACAAGCTGGTCTGGGGGAGCAGGAAGGCAAGCCGTGGACAGAGGGGAAGAGGCAGCCGCTCTGTGGGCAGAGAATGGAGTCTGCAGCTGGGCACTATGCAGGGCCCTGTCCTTTCACTACAGCGGGGAGAACGGTGGTGAGGCCTGGGGAGAATATTCTGAGGGCAGGAGCACCTTCCAAGGACACGTCTACAAACTGGATCTGCAGACTCCTTGCTCCACACCGTGACTTCTTCAGGGCCGGGGACCCGGGGTACCCCCTGGCTCTGATGAGCAGCTCCGGGGAGAGGGAGTGGGGCTAGGAGCAAGCCCCCCACCTGGATAAACCCTGCTTCTGAGAAGAGCTGCAGGGCTGAGAGAGCTTCCGTGCGTGCCCCGGCCTTGGGCTCACCGAGGGGTGTGTGGGTAGACTTCCTCTTCCTGCCGGTGATCCGGTAAGGGGAGGCCACAAGCCCTGGAGTGGGGACTCAGGGGCCACCCCAAGTGAGTGGTTTAGGAGAATGCCCAGCCCTGGGGCCCTGGGGCCTTGCCTCCCTCCAGAAGCAGCTAGCTGAAGAGACCAGGCCAGGGTGGGGGCTGCCCCACGCTGCTGGGGGGCGTGGGGGGTCTCACACCGCCCTCTGCCTCTTCCTGCAGCTCACCCGCGAGTTCTTCACCAAGGAGCTCACCAAGCACTATCAGGGCAACAACGACACCGATGTCTTCTCTGCTACCTGGAACTCGGTCATGATCACAGTGAGTGACCGCGCCCCCCCCCCCCGCCGCCCAGGGATGCCATGAGCCTTCAAAGCCCTGAGGCCAGGTGCAGCAAACGTCTGGCCTCCGGAGCCCGCTTGGCTCGCGTGCCTGCGCCAGACATCACTAACCAGTCAGGGCTGGCCCGCTGAGCCCAGCCTGGGCCTGGGAATCGCCATCCACCCAGCATTCTGGGCCGTCATTAAAGGCCCATCGAACACAGTCCAAACTCCGGCTGAAACCTGTTTGCTATCCCTGACCCTAGTCCTCTGTCATTGTCAGTGAGGGTAATCACAGCCACTGTTTAGTGGGCGCTAAGGCCCGGGGAGGCGGGAATTGTCACCACCATCCCCGTTTTACACAGGAGGACACCGGAGGCTCAGAGAGGTTGAGCGACTTTCCCGGGGTCACACAGGAGGAGAAGAGGGAGCCAACCCCTAGCTGAATCTTGACTCCGCTCCACCACCTTGCCTTATGGTGGCCTCAGGGGAGGCCATCTGTCCACCTCTGCCCCCGGGGCCCAGCTCCCACCCCCCCAGACTCTTCCCTTCGCTCTCCTCCTAGTTCGGCTGTTGTGGCGTCAACGGGCCTGAAGACTTCCGGTTTGCGTCAGTTTTCCGACTGCTGACTCTGGACAGCGACGAGGTGCCCGAGGCCTGCTGCCGAAGAGAACCGCAGACTCGGGACGGGGTCCTGCTGAGCAGGGACGAGTGCCTGCTGGGAAGGGACCTGTTCCTGAACAAGCAGGTAGCAGGCCTCGCTCCCCGCCCCAGGCACGGGGACTTGGATGGCCAGAGCTGGGCGGGGGGCTGGGGGCTGTGAAGTCCCTGAGATCCAGCCACAGTAGAGGAAGGATGAGGGTGGCAGATGGGCCGGCGATGGCCCAGCCAGAGGAGTGGGCCTTTGTCAGGGGTTAAAGGTTAAAGGGTGAGTAGGAGCTGTGCGGTGGTCCAGGGAGAGCACTCCCTGAGCTTCTGACACTGCAGGTCAGGAGCTCAAACCTGAATTACATAGAGGGGGCCCCTCCTTAGCTCTTATTGTGGGGGAAGCTCACCTGTGCCATATAGAAGCCCCCTCTGACCCCCAGGGAGCAAGGTTCTCCTCCAAGGTCAGGGAAACTACCAGACTCTTTGTTTCTCTTGCCACCCAAGACTTTATCTCAGTCCCAGGAAGAAGCCCTTTCCCTTTCTTGCACATGCCGTCTTGGGGGGACACAGGGCCCCTGCTTTGTGCGCGCACACACACACACACACACACACCCGCTGTGAGACAGATAGTGCCCTTGTACTTGATTCCTCCTTCCCACTGAGCAGCAACCCTCCCTGGCCCCTGGCCTCTCCGGTGTGTGTGTGTGAGACCAGGCTGGGGGTGGGAGGGCGAAAACAAGGATGAACCCAGGGCATGCCCCATGCCCCTCGCTTGATTAGGCTTCTCACGAGGAGCTCCTGGGAGAGTTCCAGATGCAAGGGACACAGCAAGAGATGGGAGACAAGGCACTCATGATCTACTTAAAGAAAGCACATGATAACCAAGGAGCAAACTATAAGTAATAATTTCACATGGTCATGATTACTATAAAGAAAATAAAACCAGATGCCAAGCTGGACAGGATTGGGATGGGGGCCATAGGGCAGGCCTCGGAGAGCCCCAAGAAGAGGTGCCGCGTGCTGAGGCCTGCCCCTGGCCCTCCGCTGAGGTCTTCTCAGCCTCAGCTTGGAGCTCAGCACCCCCTCCCCCACACACGTGGTGTCAGAGGACTTCACAGGGGCCCTGGGTTCAGGCCACTGTGAGCTTGGGGCAGGGAGGGCCACCAAGGGCTTGGGTCTCAGCCTCCAGGAGAAGCTGCAGGACATGGAGGGGAGGTCTCAGGCTTCGATGTCAGGCAGGCCCGGACTGTTACCTGCTGTGAAACCCTTTCTGGACCTCAGATTCCTCATACCATCACAGAGCCAGCAGTCCTCCTTGGAAAGATGGCGTTTAGAAGATGCCGTCGCCACCAGGGAAAAACTTCACTTCTTGCTTCCCTGGCAGGGAGGCCAGGTGACCCCGCAGTAGCCAAGCCATTTGTACAACTTGCATCCGGTCTTTAAGAGGAACCACAGGGCCGGCCCCTCCTCCGTTCCCCCCTGGCAGGCATGAAGCTGTGGTGACCGCCATCTGGGACGTGGCCGCGGAGGGTGGCGCCCTAGGATGTCAGGGCATTATGAGAGGGGCCTGGGCCGCGGAATGCTGCATGAAACAGACGGGCCACCTCAGCTGAGGATTTCATACGAAAGGCAAACAAACTTCTAGCTTGTCCAGCCTTGTCCAAGGCCCTGCTGTTTGGGATGCCTGGTGCCCAGAGCCAAGCCTATGTCCTGAGGCCACCTGTGGATTGTTCAGGGAGGCTTCATTGTTCCTGTAGGGCTTCATCCTCATAAACTTCCCATTTTGGGACTCATCCTTGGTGATGACACCTCCTTCCATCTCCTGGGCATGACTTTGGGATCAGAGCTCCTTGGGAAGGTCCCTGCAGCTGCCTGAGTTCTTTATGGTGCCTCTTCCTCTGTTCCTCCTGAGATCCTTTTCTGGGATCCTTTTCAGAGACCCTCACATCCCCCCTGAGCATCCTTCCTTTTCAAAGCCTCTGTGGAGGGACTATCACTATTTGGTTTTTCTCCAAAGCCCATTTCCCTAAAGCCCAGGGGGCATTTCTGACTGTGCCTTGCATCCCCGTCACAGTCTTGAATCAGTGAGCAAAACGTCTGAATGCAAGGACCCGAAATCCCAACTAAAGGGGCTTATGCAAATACCCTTTGTGTTTCACACACAGCAAGAATTCTGGAAGGTGGTGGCTTCTCCCATTACATCAGTAGCTTTGTCCTGTCAGTCAAAGCCTGGTCTCTGTGATCTTCCTGGCCTTTCCTTGGTGGCAAAATGGCTGCCATGGCTCCAGACATCCCACCCATGTTTAAGACAGAAGGGAAAGCATGGCACCACCGTCTTTCCCAGAAAGCCCCAGTAGACATCTGTATAGATCTTGATGGCCAGGACTCGGTTATGTGGCCATCAAGGGCCAAGGCAGAGGGCACTCATCTGTGGATGTTCAGTTAGCCCTCCACTGTTTACCATTGAACTCCAATGAGCAGAAATGAGGAAATCCCGAAAGAAGGTGATCCATGATGAATATTCAGACTCCCCCACTGGTATGAGTCAAACCCACCAATGCAGTTTTTCCAGCTCTTCTTCAGCCTTCCCTGGGTCAAGACAGTCACCCAGGCAAGTCAGGAATGTGTTCTCCTGCTGGAAACGAATCCAGGGCTCTCCCAATAGATGATGATTGAACTCCAGGCCAGAGTGGTGACCACCAATAGGAAACCATCCATATTCCCCATCTGTCTGGGTGATCTTAAGCCCTCTCTCCTCACAGCATCACATTTCTCTGCTTTATCCCCAGTGCTCGCCACCCACTCCCTGGCAGGTTGTGAGTCTGGGTGCTGCTGTGATGGTTGACATAAAGAGCTACACTCTCATCCTCCTGGCATGGGAAGAGTATTCCAGCCAGAGAGTGAGAGCAGCATGTGCAAAGGCCCTGGGGTGGGAAGGAGCATGGTGTGCTCCAGGAACCAAGAGAGGGAGGCCAGTAGGGCTGGAGCAGAGTGAGTAGGGCAAGACTGGCTCAAGGTGGGGGCATCAGTAGGGCCACTCGTGCTCTCTCTGTGTGTCTATATCCATCTTTATCTCAGTGTGTATATCCCCAGCGCTGCTTGAGAGAGCAGTAGTAACACAGGAATTCATCCATTTAGAGGGGCCTGGAGGGCTGGGCTCGTCTTGGAAGGCTGCCTGGAGGAGGTAAAGGGTGCGCTGGGCTTTGAGGAATGGGCTATTTCCTTAGGGCAGAGGCTGAACACCAAAATCCTTCAGCCAGCAGGGAGGTAATAAGAAGGAGTGGAGAGGGTGGGTGTAGCTCAACAGGGAATGACGGGGGCTGTGGACCCCCAGGGAACCCTTGTCCCATCTGACAGGGACCGCTATATAGAGATGATGACTCCACTTGCTGGATCTCCTGGTTTTTCTTTTCTTTTTTTTTTTAAGATTTTATTTATTTGACAGAGAGAGACATAGCGAGAGAGGGAACACAAACGGGGGGAGCTGGAGAGGGAGAAGCTGGCTTCCCGCGGAGCAGGGAGCCCAATGCGGGGCTCGATCCCAGGACACTGGGATCATGACCTGAGCCGAAGGCAGACGCTTAATGACTGAGCCACCAGGCGCCCCTGGATCTCCTGGTTTTTCGAGAGCAGCAGGGAGTCCAGATATTTTGGGGAAATTTTTCATTATTCCAATCGCTGTGGCTACTACCCAAAGCGTTTATGGTGGATGCGGTGCTCAGGCTGGCCGTTCCCAGCCCCACCTGAGGAGCTGGAGGGCCAGGAGGGGCTTTGGTGTGATGCTGCCAAATTGCTGCTCATGAGCCTCCTGCCCCCCACCCCCTCCCCACCAAGCGGTGCCAACAGGGGTTTGACAGGGTAAGCCTGCTGCTGCCTGAGCTTTGGGGCCACAGGCCAGTTTCCAGGCTTCATGCTTCGGTCCTGATGCTGGCCCCTGACCCCAGACTGTCTCCAGCTATGGCCTCACCTCTGGTCCTTCCCTCCCAGGGCTGTTACACAGTGATCCTCAACACTTTTGAAACCTACGTCTACCTGGCTGGAGCCCTTGCCATAGGGGTGCTGGCCATCGAGGTAAGTAAAAGCCCCCACTTCTGCGGCTCCCCAGAAGCAAGGCACAGATGGGGTCCCGGAGAGATCCCCCATGGCCTGCACCGCCCAGCCTACTTCTGTCTCCACATCCTAAATCCAGGACCAAATGGGTCCCCCACTGCGGGAACTGTGGGGCGGTAAGCCCAGCTGGGTCTCTCTGTTGCCTGAGTCACTGTTGGACTCTGGGCTCATCTAAGCAAGTCTCCGGCAGTGAGTGGGCAGGCTCTGAGAGTCACCCCCTAATCTTCCTCCCACTGCCTCCCCATCCCTGTTCCTCTCTGGCTAATCCTCCCCAGAGATCCAGAGAGAACTCCACAGACTTTCAACACCGCTGCCTTGAGGGAGGGGCTGCGGCTTGTGTGCTTCTAGATCAGGCCCTTTCTCTGTGGGGGGTTCAGGGCCTGTGGGGCCCTGTCGACCTCACAAGGACGGTCTTAATTAAACCCCCTTCAGCCCCAGTCCCGGAGCCCCCTCGAAAGGAAGGCAGCTGCAGACTCCGGCCGCCGCCACCAGGTGGCGCTTCAGCCGAGGGGCGGAGCTGCCCCTCCTCTCTCCCCACCTCCCCCGCTCCTGGATCTCAAACCTCTCCTCCCGGAGTTGGGACTGACCGCGGAGCCCGTGCCTGACCATCTCCAGGAAAGACCACTCCCGGGCCTCAGCCAGTCGTGGGCAGGCGGGGAGACGAAGTCAGGCAGCCTCCCTGCCCCTCCTTCTCAGGGTGTCCTCCAGCCCCACGTGGAGCAGTTTTGTGGAGACTACTGGGGATGGGGCAGAGGGAGGGGTCATTTATTCGTTCATTCAGCAAGCACAGCTTGAGCCCCTACTGTATGCCAGCACCGTTCCAGGTGAACAGAGTCTCTGACGGGGCGGGGGGGTGCGGGGGGAATGAACGAGAGACAGATAAATCTGCTGGGACTGTGGGAATCGCAGGCGTGTGTCCCGTGCAGGAAGAACACGGGCTTTTCGGGGTTAACTCCAGCTCCGCGTCTCCCCAGACGGGGCCTCTGGGCCATAGAGGACTTCTCTGCAAAATGGAGCTACTACCCTGCTCCCAGGCCGGGGTTGCTGCGGGGCGTTGTGAGGATGGCAGAGGATGGCAGAGGATGGGGACTCCATGCCTGGCCGGTTGTACTAGGGGCTTATTAGACAATGTCTGTATTCTTGACCTGCTGTCCTCACCGCCCCCCCCAACCCACAAGCCCAGCTGCACCCCGATGGGAGGCAGAGCTGTGCTCCCAAAAAGGGATTTTTGCTGTATCCCTGTCCCGGCCTCACCTCCCCCACCCCAATTCCCCGACCAGAGATCTGGCCCTGAGCCTGTGGTCTGGGGACTGTCCCTTGTGCTACTTGCAAGAAGACCCCTGTCTGTGGGGACCTCAGCCATTCTGGTCAGAGGGGCATCCCTGAATCTGGGTCTCTGCCTGCCCACCGCCGCCTCCCCTAGGGCCCTAGTGAGGTGTTCAATGATTGTGCTCTCAACTCTAGCAAGGGCTACATCTTCCCGGCCTGTTAATAATGATGCTGGTCACTTTCTCCCACATCCACTATCTAACGGGCATCACTGCGTCATTAATCACCTTATACTTCAGTCTTACTCCCCTCCTGTGAGTTAGAAAGCGGGGTGCGCAGCACTTCTCAGCATGGGCTGTGGGGTCAGAGTGCCTAGGCTCAAACCCCAGCTCCCTTGCAGCTGTGTGACCTTAGGCAGGTTGCATGACCTCTCTGTGCCTTGCCTCCTGCTCTGTCAAAGTTTTCTGAGAAAACACTTAGAACTGGGCCTGTGGCTCAGGAAGCCCTCAGGACATGCTCAGGCCCAGAGAAGGGACACGTTTGGCTCAAGGTTGCTGCTGGCAAATAGGGGAGCTAGATTTGAACCCATGTCCAAAGCCCCCTTCTTTCCATGCCTATGCTGCACGAAGGGGGCTAGTGGCTGGCAAAAGGTGCTTGCCCTCAGGGAACGTCAGGGATCCCTCCTGCAGGAGTGTGCCCAGCGATGGGTAAGCCCCCTTTCTGGGCCGATGATTACTTCCCCTTGGGGTGGGACAGCCCCGTGCCTGGCTGGGAGCCCAGGCTGACAAGCCAACTTCTACTTTCTCTGCAGCTTTTCGCCATGATCTTTGCCATGTGTCTCTTCCGGGGCATCCAGTAGAGGGCGTGGCCTGGAGCCTGAAGCCTCACCCACCATCACTGCCCAGCACCCAAAGCCCTCCCCTCCCCGGTGCCCCTGCCCTCTTGGCCCCAGGGGAGGAGGTGAGGTCATGATGAGTGGCCAGGAGAAGGGGCAGAGGAAAATAGCTATTTTTTTAACACAACAAAATGAAGACAAGACTACGGATTGATGGACCCCACCTGGTCTCCGGGTGGGTGCCATGGGCTCTCTGCAGGGGTCCTGGTACCTGAACCCCAGGGAGGAGTCTGCACTAGAGACCAAAGGAACCCCAGAACCAGGTTCCCTCCTCGGTCCCACCAGCTTCTGGCAGCCCCGGGCCTGGGCCTTCTCCTCAGCTCCAGGTGCCAAGAAAGTGTGGATTTAGCCAACAAGGAAGCAAAAGCAACTCTCAGAGGTCGACAAAGCCCCGGGGGGCCCCAAGGAGACTCAGTCACCATGTCCTTAAGAACTTGGAACCTACGTTCAACCCCTGGTCCTCTGAGGATGGAATTATCCCTGCCCCAGGCTGGGGCCAAGAGTGGGCTGCAGATACTGGATCCAAGAATGGCCTAGCTGGTGGGGTCCTTGCTTCCCTCATCTGTTGGATCAAATAATCTGGAAAGCCCAGAGAGGGGCACTTTTTCATTCACAGTCACACAGCATATGCATGACAATTCTGAACAAGAACCCAGTCGTCCCTCGGCTGCCTGTTGCTCCTTCCAGGCCTCTGTAGGTCCCAGCAGATCTGCTGCTCACACCCCTCCCTGGCCTCAGCATCCTGCCTTCCCCAGGAGAGAGAAAGCCAGCTGGTCAAGAACTTCCCAGCTCCACAGCTAAGAAAATTCTGGACTGTCCTCCCTGCTCCCCTCCCACCTCCCCATACTTCTTTCTAAGCCCCTAGGGACACACACACACACACACACACACACACACACATGACAATCTCTTTTCCACACTGCCCACTTCTTCCTACAAGCCCAACCCCTTCCCTATTCTCCATCAACTCTGTGGCTCCCAGGGCTGGAAGGAACCCCCAAGATCATCTGGTTCTCCTCTCCCCACCCAGAACTGAGGCTTGGATGTCTTCTGCAAGATCTCTGCCAAGACTTTGCCACCCTCTTCTTGCATACCTCCAATGATGGGGAGCTTACTACCTCCCAAGACAGACTTCTGTCTTCGGACTTTGATTTTTTAGCATCAGCTCAGTGCACATTAGAGTTCTCTGTTTTTCTCTGGTTCCATCCATGGCATCCCACTCACTCTCTCTCCTTCCCAAAGTATTAAGGCCACACATTGCCTCCCCCAAGCCCCATTTTCTCCAGGCTAAAGAGCTCCAAGACATCTCATTTCTGCTGCCACATGGCTTCCTGTCCCTTCATGGTCCATAGCACACTTCTGAGTGTTTCTTCCAGGCTCGGGCAGGGAGAGGTTTTCCCCTAGACTCACACCCACACAGCACCCACAAACCAGTCCCTCATACACAGGCCTCACATTCTAGACCAGTGTTGGCAACTGTATTGCAAGATGCCTCCACCCCAGTGAATCAGGAGTGACTGCCGGGGGCTGTTCAGAGGATCTGAGCTTTGGCCTGGGGCCAGGGGATGGGGAGGACAGCATAATCTTGATTGGTGATGTCAGCCAGACAATTAAGGCTTGATTAGTGATGTCTGCCACAGGCATGCCGTTGGGAGGGTAAGCATGGTGCCCTCTCTCCTCCCCACAGCCCCCCTTCAGGGTCTGGGGGGAGCCCATTCTGAATCCCAGGCCCTGTGTCAGCTTCCAGCCTCCCAGCTTGCCAGCCACTGGGAGAGACGGAGCTATGGCTGGAGCCCCGTGCCTCCCTGCTCTGCCACCGACCCCCTTTAGAGATGCAGCCCTGAGCTCTGTGCCTGCTGTAAAAGTTGGGTTTGACCCTCCTCCCCACTCTCCCCTTCCCCATCCCATCCTTCTGCTGCCCCCCTCCCCCCCCCCAGTCCCAGGCCCCCCTCCTGGTCTCCAAGCTGGGGCTTTCCATATTGTCCCTGTAACAGCCCGCCCTGGCAGCTCCGGACATGATGCCACGAACTCCCCAGCGACTGGGCGTCCCCAGGACCCAGAGCGCCCTGCAGCTGGTAGCCCAGCCCAGCCTGAGCAAGGCCTTGGGCTTGCTCCTCTCTAGACCCACCCACCCACATGCTTGGCTCCAGCTTCCTGGCAGAGGCAAATGGCTGGTCTGAGGTCGACAAAAATAAAAACAGCGGGACTTGATCTCACGGGGCAGCCGTGTGGCTCCAGTCCAGGGGCATCCCAGGCCTCCGGGTCCCATCTGGTCCCCTAGCAGCCAGGAGAATCTGGGGCCTTCAAGGTAAGAAGGGCCCGGCCTCTGGCACCCGCCCCCCTCCCTCCCCCAGTCTTGTCCATTCCCACCCCTTGCCACCCCCCACCCCCGTGAGAATCAGTGGGAGGCAGGGCAGGTCCCAGAGGAACATCTGGCTGAGGCAGGTTCAAGGGCGGGTGGTGAGCCTCATCCCCAAGGGCTTTCCCGAAAGGTGCCAAGGAGCCCCGAATCCGCCGCTGCCCACACTGGGGCTGGAAAGGGAGAGCGGGCAGTCTCTAGCACTGACCAGGCTGGTAGGGGTCTGCAAGGTTGTTTGCAGCCATTCCGAGGCGTGAAGACTAGAGCCCAGCCCCAGTCAGGCTTGCCCCCCTCCCAGGCACTGAGATCTAACTGGGCCGGTCCACATACAGCCCAGGACAGGTGCTGGTGGCTGTGGTTTGGCTGCTGGGGCCACGGGGCTGTGGTGGGGGGGAGCCAGAGCAGACCCCCCACTGATGGTCACACCCACACCCTGGACTGAAAGCCAGCTTCCTGCTCCAGAGCCCCTGCCTCTTGGAAGAGGGAAGCCATCCAAAGGGTTTGGAGGCTCTCTTGTCCCTCTCGTCCTTCCATGCCTAAGGGCCCCAGACCAGACACCCCAAACCAGCCAAGGCCCCAGCATCCCCATCTCCCAGAAGCCCCCTCTTCCCTTCCCCCCGTGGGTCCTAGGTCGAAAGTCTATTTTGAAAACTGTAAATGTTCCTTGCGGTAGATAGCAGAGCTAATTTATCATGTTTATTTCCTGGGAGCCCCCCCCTTTTTATATTCTATATCAAGAGGAGTTTTTGTAATATAAAACAGGACACCCACACTGATGGTTTTGCACTGGTTTTTGTGACTGTTTCTTACAAAAAGAAGAAGGAACGAAGAATAAATAGTGACTGTGAAGAAAGGTGGTCTTGCTTGGGGTGGGGGGAGATGGGGGCTGAGGCGGGAGCTTGGCCGGAGGGTGCTGGGCTCCAGGGACAAGGGTAGAGGGTGGTGGTGGTCGGGGGGAGTCGTCCCAAGCCTTCAGGATGGAGAGCTGGGCCCACCCTGGGTCTTCTTCAGATGTGTGGGTCCCCCTCCCCATCGTCCCTGCCTCCATCCCAGCAATGGCTCCTTGCCTTAATGTGCCCCCGCCCCATGTCCCCAGACCACATGGCTGTTTGCCAGGCTCCCTCCCCCTGGGCCTAGCGCCGATGTCCAAGCCAGCAGCATGGAATGTCAAGCTAGCGTCATCCCGGCAGGCCCTCCTGACCACCCAAGGGGCAAGGCCGCGCGGGCGGTGAGGCCGCTTGGCCAGCCCGAGCTTTCTACTTCCCGGCCGGCCACCATGCCCACTGGGCACGAGGACAAACCACCCATCACCCGTCGGAGGAGGAGCCGACGTCAGGAGGCCTTAAAAGGCCAGGACTGTGGCCCTGGAGGACAGGTAGGCGAGCAAGCAGCCGGATTCTGGGCAGGGGCCCACACTGCAGCAGCAGGAGACGGAGGTGGGGAAAGAGCCCAGCCTCTCCTTAGCCACCAGGTTCCTGTCTGCTCCCCGACCCACGGGGCCTCTCCCCTCAGCTGTGGGACAGAAGCAGTCGCACTGCTCTGCTGGGGACCAGCTGCGTGGCTGCAGGGACAGTGGCCCGGCGCCGACAGGGCAAGGCTCCCGGGCAGGCGTGCAGCCAGCAGCAGCCAGAGCCGGGCCGCCCCTGCCGACCACCCACCTCGCCCCACCGAACACACTCGATTCCAAGACGAGAAGCAAGTGCGGGGCCCGGGCTGCCTTTCTCCACACCTGTCCCCAGAACATGAGGGCCACCACGCCTGGGGCACACGCTTGTGTCCCAGAGGGAAGGGGAGCATGGGGAGTGACAGACAACGGGGGCCCACGGGCCGGGAAGGGCGCGGCGGGACGGCGGGGGGGCTTCAGCTCTGAGGGAGCCGCTCGTGGGGTGGGGGACGTGAGCGAGGCCTGCTGAGATATTTCTATTTATTTCCTGTGCTGAGTTGGAAGGGCACCCAGTCCTAGCCCGCCGGGTCTCGGGGCAGCACCCTGGGGAGAGGGTGAGGGTAGGTGAGGGGGCTGAGCCAAGCGGACAGCAGACCCTGAAGGACATACCAAGGGACCAGGAAATGCCGCTGCTTCTCTTTCTTCCTCATCTCCAAACCCCATCACTCACAGGAGCCTCCACAGGGTTCGCTCTGTGCCCACTGCCAGGGCCGGCCTGGGGGGGAGGGAGGCTGCTGGTGGCCTCTGGACCCAGGCCAGCTGCGGGGAGGCGGCTCCTGGGAGCCTCCAGGGGCTGGGCTGGAGGCAGAACAGCCTAGAGCAAGGTCCTAGGACAGAGCCTGTGGTGGCCGGGCTTGGGCTGGGGACGGGCTCTGGCTACAGGTGGCCCGCCTCACAGAGAGGCTGAAGAGGGAGGTACCAGCTCAAAGACAGCCATCCCGGCCTGTCAGCCCCACAGCTGGGCTGTGCGAAGGGCCGGGACGTGCGCCGACGGGGCCGACGGCAGCTCCCACAGGTGGCGAGGGCCCACGCCGAGTACAGGCACAGGGTCAAGCGGTCAGATTTCCCAGGCATACACAGAGGCCACGTTCAGCTGTGTGGGCACTAGATTGGGTGGGGGTGGGGGGAGGACGGGGAAGCAGGGCACACCTCTCTCAAACCAAAGAAGGGCCTCCTGGCAGAAGGGGCAGGAGCCTCGCCTTAGCCCAATACCCCATGACTCAAGCTCTTCAGTCAGTGTCTATCCAGGGGATCCGGAGGCCAAGAGAGCCAAGAAAAGGAGGCGGTGCTGTGTGGGGCGAAGGGCAGAGGTGCCGAGGCTCTGTCCCTCCCCAAACCTGAAAGTCCAGGAGATCACAGCATTTGGGGGTGCCCAGGAGGAAAGGAAGGCGAGTGGGGTCCTTCCTGCCCTCCAGGAGCCAGAGGGAAACGGAGGTCCCGGGGCCTCCCTGCTCCACAGGGGCCCCTGGCCCAGCGAGTGGCTAGACCTTCTTGGGTTTTCGGCCGACTTGGTAATAGTAGTAAACGCTGATGGCGACAAAAAGGAGGCGGCTGGCCAGAAGCAGCAGGATCCCCAGGGACACGAGGCCCGTCTCAGCTAGCGTGGCAGTGACCACTGCGGGAGAAAGACCGGGAGGGGACAGAGGTCAGAGGAGGGGTGTGCCTCAGCCCCCAACACAGGCTGACCTGCTGCGCCGGGGGCTCCTGCCGGCCGCCGGACCTCACGGACATGTCTGGTCTGATGTCCCCCACGGGGCAGGTACGGGGGTGAGGGCGAGCGTGGGGGCCACACTGGGTGTGCGCTGTCGACGTGCGCTGGGTACACAAGTGAGCGATGGGTTAGGGGAGGCTGCGGGTGCACGTGCGTGTGGGAGGCCGTGGACGCGCATGACGTATATTCAAGAAGGCACACGTATGTGTCCGGTTGTGAGCACTAGTGTGCAGACATACAGGTAAACACGGCCGCGTGAGCCCCTCCCCCCAGACAGATTTCCATCCCTTCCTGGAAGCCAAGTGGCAGGAGCTGGAGAGCCAGGGGCCAAGCTGCCCTGCCCGCACCCCCCACCCCATCAGCCTCCCTGTCTCGCTGACCACCGCAGGACTCACCCAAGAACTGGACCCCAAAGTAACAGGCTTCGGTGAGCAGAGTCCATCGGATGATAACCTTCTCGGCCGTGTAGAGAGCGTTCCACATGATCAGGGAGATGCCTGGGGCGGGGGAAGAAGGGTAGACTGGGAGCCGGCAGCTTGATCCACCCACCCCCTTGGGGGCGGGGCGGGATCCCAGATTTCTACATCCCCCACCCCCACGCACACTCCCCAAATTAAAACTCATCCATCATCCGACCTAACCCCATAACCCTAGGTCTCCCACTGCCTGGGTGAAGGGCTTGAAGGCGCCCCAGTGGCCACCAGCCCCTGCCCCCTCCCCCGGTACCGATGCAGACCCTTGAGGGATGGGTGTTGGCGCCATGGGCACGAGGTTGGGGAGACTGCGTGTACAGAGGCAGGGAGGCCTGCTGAAACAGCAGGGCTGGGCATCATGAGATGTGGCTGGGGTCCGGGGCCCACTGTGGGATCTGGGGGAGGCAGGTCTGGAAAGGTCGGCTGGATCCACCCCACAGACCACCCCGAAAGCCAGGTGGAGGGGCTGGGCCTTTATTCTGCAGGCAAAAGGGAGCCAGAGAATGTTCGGGTGAAGAGGACGGACGCTACCTGTGCTAAGCTTTAAAAGCTGTACTTCAGCTTCCTACCAGGCACTGTGTGTGACTCAAATCGGAGAGGAAACAGGACGGTTCAAACGAGAGGCCCAAGGGTGGGAGGGATTTTCCAGACACTGTGTTGATTTTGCCTCCTCCTCTAGGTGGCGAGGTCCTGGAGGGCAGGGCCTGAGCTTCATTCATCTCTGCACCCCAATGACCAGGGGGTGCACTACACAGTAAGCACTCGGTAAGCCTTTGCCCCAGACGATGGCAAAGACGCAGCCCCGTCCCCTGGGTGTATTCCAGCAGTAGCCACAAGATGGCAGCACACACCCAGCAGAGACAGACTCCTCAGCTGAAGGGGGTAGGCGGGGTGCTGGGAAGGGGAGCCCCTGCACAAAGAAAGGCTTCGCCAAGCTCCTCTCAGTCTCTGTTGGGCCGCAGCTGCCCATCACGTCTGTCCTAGCAATACTCACTGAGGAGCGCACCACCGTAGAGGCGGATGGGGGTCTTGCTGGTCACCTGGGCTCCATCAAAGACGGCATCATAGAGCTGGTCAGGGAAGGCGAGGGCCTGCGGGCATGGGTGGGCAGTTCAGAGTAAAGTGGGAGGGGGTTGCTGCTGAAACACCCCCTGGACATCTTCCTTCTTCCCCCCCGCCCTGAAGCCAGGCTGAGGTGTCTGGGGCAGTCCAGTGTCAGAGCCGTGGCTGTCCCCCACTCCCCTGTGTCAGGACAGAAGGCTCTAGATTCCCAGGGGCAAGGAGTCAGGAACATGGACCATGCGATCCAGGATGCTCCAGAGCAGGCAGGGTTCAGGCTGGGACTGTGGAGGGAGCTAGAGAGCCCTGACAGGCAGGGCCTCAGCACGGGGCCATGAAGGGAGAGGCAGCCCCAAGGCAGGAGGGGAGCCCCCAGGAGAGGCCCGGAGGCGGGACATAGGGAGCCAGACCCAGGGCCAGGTCCTGGGGGGCGGGAGGGGGGCTCACCATGATGGCAATGCCGGAGAAGAGCACAGCAGAAGCAAACTGCCAAACCCTGGGGGCGTGAAGAGAAAAGTCACAGCCAGGCCCCCTCGCTGCCACCTCCAGGCCCCAGGGGACCCTCCCCTCTCCAGCCAAGAGGTCCAGGGATGGCTGGTTTTAGGGGGAGGGAATGCAATGGGATGGAGTCACAGGCACAGGGACACGGGGGCAAAGCTGATGAGGCGGGGCCTCACGCAGCACCTGCCCATAACCCGGCACCCACCAAAACCCACGCTCGACGCTCACCTCAGCCCCAAAGGCTCCCGAACAGCAAACTTGATTTCATTGCCCAAGACCTGGCTGATCTGTGGACAAAGAGGGGTCAGGGGCACGCCCAGCCCACTCACTCCCTTCCCTGAGCCCCTGGCATGCCCAGGGACCCACCTGGGTTCTTCTGCTTAGCCAAAGGGTCCCCCAGGCTGGGAAGGTCACACTGAGGCCACCCCCCTCTGCCTCTTCTTGACACCAGAGCTTACGGGAAGCTGAAAATACGGTGGGTAAGATTAAAGCTCAGGGGTCTGCTAGACACAGGCTTAAAGCCTGGCTGTGCCACTTACTGGCTTGACCTTGACTTCTCTGAGCCTGTTTCCTTACCGATAAAAGGGGTTCATAACTATCTCCCAGGACTAGCAGGATTAAATCATACTTATAAAGCACCTGGTGCAGTAATGGGCACATAATAAGCACGAAATTCATTCTAATGATCTGTCTTCATTTTTGTTATTATTGCCCTGACATCTCCATTAAGTTCCTAGAAAAAAAAAAAAAAGGCGCTAAGTCCCAGGGCTCCCGCAGCTCCACAGGCCGTGGCTACTCTTCTCCCAAGTGGCAGGCCAGACCTGCCTCCCCAAATGGGTGTTCAGAGGCGGACCCCTGGGTGTGGCCAGCTTCAGGCCCCTCGGCCCACCTTGGAGCGGTGTACCTCCCCGTCGTCGTCCTCCCCGCCCACGCCGAGGATCTTGCGGGTCTTCAGGCGGCTCACGAGGTCCGTCTGGCTGTGCTTCTTCATGAGAGGTGGGGGCTGCTTGGCCGCCATCTTGTCCTGGAGCCTGGTGCCTACACAAGGGCTGAGGGGAGACACCAGCCTCAGCCACAGGTCCTGCCCAGCTCCCAGACCTCAGGGACAGCCAGACCTGACCCCGGGGCCTGGTGAGACCTCCCTGGCAGCCTGGGGCAGCATCTGGAATACCAGCAAGAAATCTGGGGGGCCCAGACATAGTACTTGGCTCCTTAACCACCTGGCTGTTTGATGAAAGGGCCTCTCCTCTTCCTGGCCTCCGCTTCCTCATCTATAAAATGGAAGGGGGAGGATGTCCCTAAAGCTCTTCCAGCTGTGTGAGCCCATCTGGCCTCCACGGACATGGTGCACCCCGAGTAATCAGGTTGGTTGGAGCCTTACAGAAGGCCCTGGAGGAGTGTATGGGCCCGGGAAAGGCATTCGGACCCAGGTGGAGACCACATTCAAAGGTTCCTGGGAGGTGGGGGCAAACAGGAGTCCGGGCCAGTTGTGCCAGAAGAGGGAACATCTGCCCAAGTCCTGGGGTCCAGGTGCCACACTGAACTTTTGCCCAGATAATCTCTCTGTCCAGCAAGCCCTCCCTCCCTGTCTCGCAGACAACCTCCTTCAAACCTTCCAGGACTGAAAGAAGGGGAGGGGGGTGTCCCCAGGACCCAGGAGAGCCAGAGGAAGGATGGCCAGGAGAGCCTTCTGGCCGGAGACACCCACTACCGGCCTCTTCCCCACCCCTGTCTGCTCACGATCCTCCAGAGCCCCCACTCCCCAGCCACCCCCCAGCTCCACCTCGGGCTCGGTCTTGGGCACCTACTTTGTGCCAGGCACTGGGCTGGGAGACACAGAGATGAGGTGACTGCTGGTCTCGCCTTCAATCAGCACAAAACCTATGCAAAGGAGACAAAAGTGTGGACTCCATTGAGGCAAAGGTTTCCAAGAGTTGGCCCAGGGGTGGCCCTGGGCTCCTCTAGTCACAGCGCCCCCCATCCCCGGCACGCGATGGGAACGATTTACACCCATTCTACAGATGAGGAAACCAAGGTCAACAAAGTTCAACAGAGACAGGGTTGAGTAACTCCAGGACCCCCCACCCGACAGCACCACATGCCGTATTCCAGCATCTCATTCTATAGAGGCCCACAGACACCCGCTGGTCGGCCTCGGGGTCTCCGGTGAGTGATGTCCAGCCCCCGGGCCTTAGTTCCTCATCTACGAAATGGGGGTCGCTATGCGGTCCCCTCCCCCCCCAACCCTGGGGGCACGGAGGTGGCCGGGGTTGACGATGAAGACAGTTCCAATGCCCAAGACCATTTGATGGGGGGGGTGGCCAGCCCCACCGGAGAAGGCAGGGTTTAACCACGCTGCTCCCCCGGGCGGCCGGGCACTGTCCCCACACCTCAGCACTTGCCACCACTTCTCGTGACTCCGGAGCGAGGCGACAATCAGCCTGGTGTCCCTCCCACCGCCCGGGAGCCCTCCACGAGAGCTGCCAGCCACAGCTGGGAACCGCCGGGGCCCGCCTCCCTCGCCGGGCCTCAGCCAAGAAAGCACCGGGGCGCCCAGCGCTCACCCTCCTTCCTCTTCCAGCCTCCCCTCTGGCCTTTCATTTTTTAATTTACATACTGCAGAACCGACATTCTTTGTTGTTGCAGTTACATGACTTTTAGCACATATATAGATGCAGAGAAGGACCACCTGCGAATCGGGACACCTGCCCTGGCCCTCCCCTGCCCTCCCCTCTCGCCCCCCTCAGCCACTGATCTCCGGGCCGTCACTCTAGCTTGGTTTTGTTTTTTCAAACACATTAGATAAATAGACTCATATAGCCGAGAACCACTTGAGACCGGCTTCTTCCATTCCGCGTAATGCTAAAATGCCTCTGAGACTCGTTCGGGCTGCTGGGCGCTTCCCCTGCCTGGTCCTCTTTAGGGCCGGGTAATATTCCATGGCGGAAGATGCACCAGTTGGTTGACCCCGTCACTCACTGAAGGCCATCTGGGTTGTTTCCAGAGTTTGACAGTTACGCACAGGTCTCCGTCCCGTGGCGTAAGGTGGCACTCGGGTCAAGCCCGCCAGGCCCCGGGCTGTCTCAGTGACCCCCGCTCAGAGCGTCAGCTGCCTTCCTCTGCCCGAAGAGCCCTCCCCACCAACACACACACAACGCTCCCCTCCGCACCGCAGGCCCGAACCTGCAAAGCAAGGGCTGTGGGTTGTGGGAGTGCCAGCCTCCTGGGACGGGGTACAGCAAGGGGACTGCAGTGGCCTGGGCTCCACTGGATGCCAGCATGACTCTTAGGGGAGACAGGCTTCATCCACAGGCACCGCCATCAGGTACTTGGGCTGGAGGGACCCACGGTGGCCTCCCCACCGAGCCCAGCCGCCAGCAAGGAGCTCACCACCCTCAAACGGCCCTAGGGCCTCCTGGGGAGAGTGAAATCGGAGAGTAGGGTCCCCGACACCTGCCTTGGCACAGCTAACTACTCTGAGCACTGAGTTCTGTCCCTTCTTCCCCCACAGCACGGGGCCCCGCCTGGGGAGCACAGGTAGACAGCTGCAGTACCCCACGCACGTGCCAGACCCCCCCCATGCCCCCCCAAGGCAAACCACACACATGGACCCCTCAGACCTGCCCTCGAACTTTCTTCCCGTTCCCACTCCACAGGTGTTTTTCAGCCTGGCCTCATTTTAACCTAGGTGAGGACAGAGGGCACCTCCCTCCGCTCCACTCCCTGCACCGCGGCTGAGCCGGGGGTGCGTTCGGATCCTGGGTCTGCCCTCTTACCAGCCGCAGGGCTTCGGGCAGCTCCCTGCAGCTCTCCCAGCCTCAGTGTCTGCCCTGTGAAATGGGGTTAATAAGAACACTCCCTCTGTGTGAGTGCAGGAGGCCCAGGAGAGGGAACATGCGCAGGGCCCGGGGCCAAGTGCCCTGCCTGCCCACGCTCCTACTTCCCGTTCTTCATGCGGCCATTGAGCCGCGCACAATGCGAACAGTGGCCTGATAGGGCCGTTGCTTCCTTTCCAGAGCCAGCTGCCCTTCGAAGGGCCCCCAGGGCTCCCCCCTTCCCCTGTGCCAGGCTGCCCGAGGCTAAGGGCAGAGGCGGGTGGAGGAGAACCTGCCAAGCAAGGAGCTGGGACAAGGTAGCCTGCAGCCCCTTAGAGGCCGAGTTCATGACCCTCTACATTCTGCGCCTGGCGGGCCTCTCCGACCTTGATTCCCAATAAAGCCAGGAAGTCCCTGTCCTTTTTCATGGTGGTTCCCAGTTCTGAACCACTGCCCAGCCAGGAAGGTCCTCCTTGCGCCCTGCTCCTCCCCACCTCCACCCTCCTTATTCTTCAGGGCCACACAGCCCCTCCTCAGGGGCCTTCCCAGGACACATCCTCTTCCTCTGTCGCCTGGACTCCCGTGGGTCTCAGTGTGGGTGGCCACGGGGGGCCACTTCCAGCCCATACCCTGGTCCCGTCATGGGCACTCGGGCTCCCGGAGACCCTGTGATCTGAAGGCAGGGCTGCTGTCTAGTCCGAGAATCTCCCTGCTGCACCTCTGCACACGGTGGGCGCTCCATCGGCATGGGCCAGTGAGGGGCAGCCGGGCCACAGGAAGTAGGCCTCCTTAACTCCACCCAGAACACCCGGGGTCCCACTCAGTTAGACGGGGCAGGGCCCAAGGGGAGGGGAGGCTCCAAACACACACTGGATGAGGCAGAAAGCTGAGGCCCGGAGAGGGCCAACGAGCCAGTGGCTGGTGAGTGCAGGAAAGGGGCTTTGCAGTCAAGCGGGGCTGGCTTCTAATCGGACCTCTCCTACGGGCCGGTGGCCTCGGACCAGTGGGTCTAGGGTGCTGAAGACATAGGAGAGTGGGTACAGATGCTCTTGGCGAAGGGTCTGGCCCATGCAGTGCCCAGGAAATGGTGGGGGTCAGGACTGGGGGAGACAGTGTGGTGAGACCTCTCGATGCCCCCCTCCTCAGAAAGCTGTGGCCATCGCTAGAAGATCAGCGCCCCAGGGCAGGGCTTTCTGTAGGTCTTGCTCACGGAGCCTGGGACACTTCCTGGCATGTGAGGAGCTCACCAAATATTTGTCACCAAGTCGGGAGTTGGGGAAGGGATTGTCCCCCCACCTGACCGCTGGCCAAGATCTGACTCCCTGCAGCACTGCCCCCCCCCACGCCCCTGCCCGCCCCTCCCATCAAGTGCAGGGACATCTGAGGACAGGAAGAACATCCCCAAAGAGCTCCCAGTGGCAGCAAGACAGAGGGGGTCATGACTAGAGAGGCCGGGAACAGAGAAACTTATCAGGGGTGCAAGTGTCAGGGGAGAACGGGGGGGGGTGCATATACTTAGTGATTAGGCAAGCTTGGGCTCAAACCTCAACTCTTTCTCTTGTCTGTGACCTCAAGAAAGTTTCCTAACCACTCTGAGCTTCCATTTCTTCCTTGGTGAAACCACGGTACTATTTTTTAGCTCACGGGGTTGTGATGAGACCCTGAGCAAAGGCAATTAGGGGGCCCGGCACCTACTATGGGCTCCATACAGGACAGCAATTAACGGCATTGCTTATGGGGCGGCTGCCAAGGCCCTGTCCTGGCGGCAGGTCAGGTGGGGCTGGGGCGTCATTCCCATGCTGGTCCCAAAGGACCTCTCCCCATCCCCTGCAGCCTTCCCAGGAAGCCTGGTTTCCATAGAAACAGTCGGACTGCAGAGCTGTCCCCGGCATGGAGACTGTGCCCATGAGGGCTGGCTTAGAAACCTGACCAGCAGTGGGGCGGGGGGGAGGCACAGAGGAAGGGGGCCTGGGGCCCAGCACACCCACCAGCTGCTGAGCCTCCCGGTGATGCAGCGGAGAGTCACTGTGATGCTGAACATCACAGCCAAGAACCACTTCCTTCTCAAACAAGACCCTTTGCTGGAGGGACAGTGCCCCCGTCCCTCCCCATCTGGCAGGAACTGCCCCCGAGAGCATCCACCCCAGGGCTGGAGGCAGAGGACAAGTACTTCCAGGCCAGGAATTCTTGGCAGCCCCCAAACAACCCCATGAGAATGGCTGTACTGTCGCCCCCATTCTACAGATGAGGAAACTAAGGCCTGAGGGACTTAATCAAGCTTCTCAGGGTTAAGTGGCAGAGCTGAAATCGGGAGCAAGTTAACTACGCTATAAATGGATATCCTGAGAGGAGCTGGTCTGTGTGTGTGTGCCGGGCCTGGGGTGCTGTTTGGTGAACCTGACCTCTAGGAAGAGCTAAGCCGTAAGCCATCTTCCTCCTCACATCGCCCCTTGAAAGCCCCCGGCAGGTTGCCAGTATCTGAACTCCTTCCTTCCTGGGGTCTAGCCTCTCTTGGGTTAAGGCCTTGTGACTCCAGCAGGACCAGGGAAGGGCTACGGGGAGACCCATTGTTCTCTTATCACACTGGAGCAAAATAGCTGGAAACGGGGTGTGGGACCGCGCAGCGCCAGGAGAGGGGGCACTGACAGAGGGGGCCTCCGGGCGGGCAGTCAGAGAGAAGGGGGGGCAAGGGGAGAGGGCCAGCAAGGAGGCCAGGGAGGCTAGAAGGTCCAGAGCCCCCCCTGCCCCATCATCCACCCCGTGGTCCGTTCCTGGGGCGGCCCATCAGCTCCTTGGCCGAGAGGCCTTTCAAAGACCCCCCAACCCAGAACCCCCCAGCCTGAGCCCTCAGGCAGAGTGAATCTCACTTCTCGAGGGCTGTGCTGGAGAGGCGTGGGCGTGAACGGACCCATGCTCATTCCTAGCCTGAGCCTTGGGGCCCATTAGCCATGCAGACCCTCCATTCCTGTGCTGTAAATGGGGGTCAAGATGCCTGACTTACCAGGTTGGTGGCAGAACTACAGCGAAACCAGGAAGTCACAGGACACAAAGGGGGCTTGCCTGATGCCTGACTGACATCATGACTGACGTCATCACCGTGGCTTCCCGGGTGCAGGTTTGGTCATGTGGGTCTCGGGGCGAAGGCACCAAGCCAAGGCGAGGCTGCGGCAGCAGAGCCTCCTGGAGGTGCGTCCTTCGAGAGCATAGTCGTTCTAAAGGCCGAGCCTGCCTGAGTCAGCCTTGCCTCTCGAGTAGATGAGTAGACGGGGAGCCGGTCCCGCATCATCCATCACCCGCCCCCGCCACCGGGCTCAGGGTGGAAGCGAGCGGTGGGACGACAGGTAGAGCTGGAGGGGGACAGGAGGGGGCGTGACGCGAAGCCCGCCAGAGGTACAGACCTAGTCCCGGACTCAAGGAAGGGATTCCACGTCCCATTTCCAAGAACCTCCAGGAACATGGGAGCTGGTATGGGGCCCAGCGGGGACACAGGACAGCTGAGGTCCCCAGAGATTCTGTCTGCCACCGCGGCTAAACCAGGGCCCGACTTTGGGACTCGGGCGCCTCATCTAAGGAAAACTGGGAGTGTGGTCTCTGTCATGTTCCCGATGTGGCTTCTAAATCCACTCGCCGGCAGGACACGAGGCCCTAGCCCCAGCTGCTGGGCTGCCCCTGGGGACACACAGAATTTATCTACTAGTTCTCTTTCTTTTGAAGGTGCCTGATCTCCAGAGTGGCAGAGGGAAGCCCAAACGTTCATCACAAACAAACATCTCCAGATCTTCGGGGACCAAAAATAAACATTCCCTGCACCCTGGAAAGGCTGGGAGAGCAGTGCTGAGGAGGGGACATCCCTGGGCCTCACCCCCCGGGTCTGAGGCTGCTGTGCAAGGGGGATTCAGCCCCCCGACGGCCAGCCGTCACCACTCAGATGTCACTAGGTCGTCCCTGTCCCTGCTGACAGAGGGCGAGCGCAAGGGGAATTTCTGTCCTTTTCAACGGGGAATGGGCCTGCCCGGCCCCCACCAGCCCAGTGACCACGTCAGGGCCCTCAAAGGCAGCTGGTGCTTCCGGGGGCCAGGGCTGTGGTGAGGGGGCAGCGGACACATGCCATCCCCCTCACTGCCCCTCCCACCTCTCTCCAAACCTCCGAAACGGGAGGACAAGAGGGGGGCAGGCGAACTTCCTTGCAGGGATGCTCCACCATTTTAAGCCAACTTTTCCAGAAGCAGGAGGTGATTTGCCTTCTGGGTGGGTTGGGGGAGGCAGGCAAAAGGGTCCCTGTACTTTTCCCAGGATGCTATGGGCAAGAACAACAGCCCAGGACTGATCATCTCCCCCCAGGGTCTGGGGCTCTGGCTCAGGGTCAAAGGAGTAGATCAGGACTCAAAAGGCCTGTGTTTAAATCCTGGTGCTACCACTTATTAGCTGCATGGCCTTGGGCCAGTGACACCACCTCTGTGGGCCTCAGTTTCATCTGTGAAATGGGTGTAATAAGGACACCTACAACCCACTGATGAGAAGATGCACAAAAACACCTAGAACGGTACCCGTTTTATAGTGAATGCTCAGTAATAACGTCGCTGCTGTTATTCTCAGGCTAGGAGACTCAGCTTCTTTGCCTCCGTTTCCCCCTTGACCGTACCAGCTTCAGTCCCCTTCAAGGAGCTACACATGGATACAAAATGGGGTGTTTACAAGGCGTGGCCTTAAGAAGGAAATGGGATGGGAACAAGGGTCATGCTGGGTCAGGAGGAAGATGCTGCCCTGAGGCGCTCACAACGGCTGACAATGGGTGGCAGGGATACGGAACACCTTGAGGTACTAAGCCTGGGTGGCTCCCCTCCACGTTTCCGGCACTTGGCCAGGCCTGACCCTGGCAGGGACGCAAACCAGTGTTGCCAGTGAATAGCTGAGATGCAGGGTGAAGTGAAAATAGTATGGACCAGGACGCAGAACATCAGGCACCCCGCCCTGCCGTTGTGGCTCCTGCATGTCCTGTGGAGACTTTCAGGTCGTCTCTGAGCATCACTTCCCTCATCTGTGAAAGGGACACCCTTTATCCCTTTTCAGTCAGCCTTGCCTCTTATCTCTGCCCCACCCCTCACTCCACTGGAACCACAGTGGCTCCTTACAGTTTCTCAAATATGGCGGACACATTTCAGCCCCAGGGCCTTTGCACAGGCCATTCGCTGCAGGATCTTTATTTCCCCAAGCTATCCCCACAGTTCACTCTTTCAGAGCCTTGGCTCAAGAGTCACCTCCTCAGGAAGGCCTCCTTGACCACCTTATTTAAAATGACAACCCCACCCCATTAAAATGGCAAAACCACCCCAGCCTCAACATGCCTGACACTCAACTTTTCCCCCCTCACCCCCCCATACACTATATACTTTACTTTATTATTTGTCCCTCCACCATTTACGTGTCAGCTCCATGAGGGAAAGAATCTTTTTTTTGTTCTCAGCTGTCTCCCAGTGCCCCGAACTGTCTGGCACTTGGTTCACTAAATCACCTTTGGTATAGGGCCCACAGTTTGTTCAATCAAAGGAAAGAAGAGTCGAGAACTATGTGTATCAGGGGTCACTGCTAATTTCATTGCTCTCCTACCCTCACATAGTGAGGGGCAGGCCCTTTCTCCGGGGCGGGGGGTGGCTAGCATAAGATTTGGGGGGGGAAGGGAGGCAGCAGAGTACAGAGTTGGAGAAGCTACAGCTGGAGCCTGGGGGTAGGGATCCAGCAGGTGTTGACAGCCAGACATGGGTGAAGGCCTTTGGGCCCCAGCCCTGCACTCCAAATTTGGAAGAACGGATTAAACCCACAACACGTGGGCAGAAAAAGAGAAGCCAGGGCAGCTTGTTCCTGGCTAATGGAGTCAGAGGGGACCTCAAGGACCAGATGGCCCATTTTATAGATGGCATAACAGAGACCTGGAGAATACACAGTGCCTTATTTCCTAACAACCCAACAAGAAAAACTTTCCCTCCTGCGGGGCTGAGCGTGGGGCTGGTGTGAGGCTTCGGCTAAGGCTAAGGAACGGAGTGTCCCCTCCTGGCGCTCCACCAGCGCCTCCCACCCCACCCCACTCTGTGTCCCTGGGCTCTTTGGGCTGCAGAGGGTCGTGGGCCCCTCTACACCAGCCACCAGAGGTGTAGGTCCAAGAGGCCGCACCGTTGAGGTGGCCATCCCCGCGGCCCTGATGCCTTCTCCCCGCAGGACTGCCCCACCAGGAAGTTTGTCCGAAGGAAATCAACCAGGAAGCGCGGGGCGGTGGTGGGGAGCCCACGCGGCCTTGGCTCCAGAGGAGCCCCGGGGTTCCGGCCTCTGCGCGCTCCAGCCCCCCACCCCGCCCACCTTGCTCCAGAGAAGAAACCCGCTCCCCTGGGGCCGCGAGGGGGAGGCGGGAGCCCGGCACTGGGTGGGGGCGGGGAGGGCGGAACGAGGGGAGGCAACGCAAGCGCCCGACCCTGCCGGGCGCGCCGGGGATGCGCGCGGGGTTGTGGCGGTTCCTCGATAGACCCCCCCAACCCCGCCCCAGGATGGGTGCGAGTATTTTGCCCCTGGCAGGGAGCCCCAGCCCACCGAGAGCCAGGCCAATGGCCCCACATTGTCACCTTCCCGCTGAGCGCGCGACTTAGGGGAGACTGGGGGGCGTCCGTCTCCACCTGTGCTTCCCGGACCCTCCCACCCAACAACTGGGGCTTAGGCGCGGCTACGGTTTCTGCCTCCTCCCCCACCCCCACCCCTTCCTCCCTCGCCGGCCCGGAGACCAGGGTCTCTCCCAGTCTGGCTTCCTCCTCCTCCACTGTGTCCTTCGTCTCCTAGCTCCAGGCACTCACCCACTTTCTGAGACCCGGGCCTGAGAGCTGGGGACCAGGCGGGGAGCTCCGGGCGGCTGGGCGCCCCCACGGCCCGCCCAACCAGTGGGTCCGGCCAGCGGGAACTCCGCCACCGCGGTCCGCGGCCCTGCGGGGGCGAAGACAGAAGGAGGGGCACTCGCAAGTTTGTGCCGCGCACTCCTCGGACCGGGGAACAATGGCGATGGGGGGGAGGGGACAGAGAACCGAGCGCGGGGACAACAGTCAGACCCCAGGGAGACAGAAACTGCTGTTGGCTCTTTCTCTCTAGCTCCGAAGCAGACGGGGAGGCAGGGGGGAAATAAAACAGTCCAACGGGGAGGAGACAGCGAAGGCAGAAAGCCGGGGGAGAGAGGGAAACCGAGGCAGCGGGAAGGGCGGCGAGTGGAGAGCGCCACGGAAGGTAACCGAAGGGGCTGCGGGGCTGCGCCTTGCGGGGGGGGACCCCTGGAGTCCTGGCATTATCCGCCGGGGCCAAGAGGTCCTGGGGCGTCCAGCTCGCGCGCACGGGGTCCCCAGGTCCGCCGCGGTCACTGCGGCGGCAGAAGCCCCGCGGGGCTGGGCTGCGCTGCGCAGGCACCGGCCGGCGGCGGGAGGGGAGCGTGCGGGGCTCGGAGGCGGCGGCGGGGAACAGAACTTACGTTCCTAGCGCATGCTGGTGCCGGCGCTGCGCGGAGCTGGCGAGCCAGGGGACGCTCGGGCCCTCGGGCGCCTCACATCGCGCCGCCCGCGCGGGGCAGGGCAGGGCAGGGCAGGGCCGGGCCGGGCGGGACTGCGCGCCGCGTCCTGCGCGCCCGGGGTTTACCCGAGTCTGGCGGCCCGCGCTGGTCCCTCCTCTCAGTCCCGCGCCAAGCCAATGGCGCACCGTCCCCTCCCACGCGCCGGCTGCCTCGCCCCCGAGGGGGGCCGCCGGGCGGGAGGGGGAGAGGGGCTGGGGCCACTGGGCTCCGGGGCTCCCCGGCCGAGGCTTTCCCAGGGACTGCCTGTGGGGGGCGCGCTCACGCCCCGGGACAAGGCACTGGAGAATCGAGCCGAGGGCCCGCACGCCACCCAGGAAGACTTTCTTGGCAAGTTCTGAAGACTGCGCCCCTTTCCTGAGACTCTCAACACCCCCGCAGGTTGGCAAACCACACTGTCTTAAATATCCTCGGGGTATCCCCTGGGGCCTAGGCCAGTGTCTAAAATGGAAGGGACTGCTGTGGCTGGTAGACACCCAAGTGTGTAGGGAACACAGTGACAACAATGGTCACCATCTGCTGAGCGCCCGCTCCGTGCCAGGCACCGTGTGCTCAAGGAGTTTCGAGCATTAACTCATTTGATTCTCACAACAGCCTAAGAAAGCGGCATGATTAATCCCATTTTACAGATGATGGTTAGTGACTTTTGATTTGGGCTTCCAGCTTAGACCCACCCTTCTCTCTCCCCCTGCACAGGACACCCACCCCCTCCACATACACACCCACCTTCTTCATCCTCCACCCTAAGATCTGGTCTCCGGGATGTTGCTCTAAACTGCACTGTCACAGGACAAAGATCTTATCTGACGCTCCTGGACATGTGGTGGGAGGCACAGTTGTCAGACCTTTTATCTCTGCACATCCTGTGGGGGAAGTGGGGGTGAAGGTGTGGTTTGGGGGTCCTGGAGGCTCTCTGGGAGCCTGTCAGCCTAAAAGAACCAGGCTCCTACAAACAACGCCCCCACCCACTCTGGGCTCATTTAAACCCCCTGTGACCAGTAATGTGTCTCCCACCCCAAATCCCACCACCCTGCACCCTCCTTCTGAGCAAAATGCCTGGCTCTCTTCATCTTATCTGTTGGGAGTGGGGGAGTGGTTTCAGAAAGGCAAGGTTGATGACACGCTCCATTTCATGAGATCAGTAAATAGAGCAGGTGGAGGTGAGGTGAGTGGTTGCCCCGGATCTCTAGCTAGGTGGGCATTTTGACTCTGGGTCTGAGCTCTTTCCGCATCAGTTCCTGAAGGGTTAATCAAGCAGGCTGTGGGACAAGACCTACTGCCCAGGTTCAAATCCTGGCCCAGCGATTTGGGAACTGTGTGGCCCTGTGCAAGTTACTTAACCTCTCTGTGGCTTGTTCCCTCCGCCTACAAAATGAGGCTGACCCATAGAAGGAAGTGCCCCTGGTTATGGAACGGCAGCAGCGCACACTTACTGAGCGCTGACTGTTTGCCAAGAAGACTCTCACTGCCCTCCCCAGAGCTGGGCCTGGGCGGGAGGGGCTGTGCCCTTTACACAGAAGTAAACGGAACAGTACCTGGCTCGCGAGAACTCTTGGCGACCGGGCTGTCCTCATTACCAAGGGAACAACTCTGATCCCGAGGCACCTCTGTGGCCCACAGTGCCACCGTCCCTGCTTCCAGACAAAGCCCTCAGTCACGGATGGCCAATAATGAGTAAGTGAATGAATGAATGAATGGCTAGAGCTACAGATCAGCATTGTTCCTAAGTGTGTTGGGTGAAGCACAGACCCAAGATCCACAGGACTCGAGGCTCGATAGTAGTCTTTGCAACAGCTCAGAGTCTCAGCCGGCTCAGGCTGGGATGATGAATTCCTTTGTTGCCTCTTCTGTCTTCCCAGCATGCAGGGCTCCGGGTTGCTGCCGCTCGGAGGGTACCGACCTCACTAGTGTGAAGTGTCACCTCTGATTGTCAGTGCTGCCCTTGGCGTGACCCAAGAGCCTGACCTCACATCCATAAGAGGGACTCTGTAACAATCACCCCAAGATCTCCAACATGTGAGGCATTGCCCTAGTAGTAGTGAGCACCCTGTCACTAGCAGCATGCAAGCAGAAGCCAGGGAAGAGTCAATGAGGGGTGCTAGAGGAGGGATTCACACCTTAGGTGGCATAGGATGTGGATAACCTTTGAGCCCTGTAGGTCTTGATTGTGTGTTCTGTTCCCCAAGCCCATCAGCGGGGAACCCCGGGGCGGGGAAAAGGCTCTCCCCCCAGCCTCATGAAGGAGGCAGTCTTGTCTGGGCCCTAACTGTGTGTCAGGCAAGGTGCTGAGTGCTGGGGCTCTGGTGTTAAACAGGACCCAGTCCCTGTCCTTGGGGAGCTCACAGCTCCTGGGAGACAGATGCATACGCAGCAGCAGCAGCAGCAGCGGAGACAGCTCTCGATGACAGGCAAAGGGCTGGGTGGGCAGGAGAGGGAAGAAGCTCTCCATTACCCCCGCGTCTGCACTCCCTAAAGCGCCCACTAGAAACTCTTGCTCTCTTCCTTCCCATAGAGTTTTCTAAAGTGATGTGCATCTAGTTCAGGAACGTTCCTTAGACTGCCATTCTGCTCTTAGCTTCTCCATTACCTCATCTTTACACTGGGCATAAAAAAGTTCGCCGTGCTGGGCTGTCGTGAGCCCGAAACTGACATTTGTCAAGTGCTAGGCAAGAACAAGGCAAAGGTAGGCAAGAACAGGTGCTCGGACCTGCTGACCAGGAGGTGTCATAATTATTTGCAGCTCGGGAGAAGGAGCATTAGCGGAGGGGACGAGATAAGGGGGCTAGGGCCCTGGCTCCACTCCTAACTAGCTGTGTGACCCTCTGCTGCACCCGAGAAATGGAAATATAAAAACGCCTGCCTCTGGGAGCTCATCATTGTCAAGTGAGGGATTAGATGAGAAAGATCTGTAAACTGGAAATTCTGATCCCTGGTACTATCATGTTTACTGGGATTCTCTTTGTGAAATTGTCCCTCAGAGCCCCAGGACGGTGGGGTGGGGTGGGCGTGGAGGTGGAGCCGAGGGCCAGCCAGCTGGGGGAGGGTCACTCCCCCCAACCAGCCTCCCACTGGAGCCTGGGAGCAGCCTGCCCCGTCCCCTTCAGCAAGGGCGGCAGCAGCTTCATCGTGCCTGGTGTGTGCACGCGTGCATCTGTGCAGATGGGTGGCATGTGGGCGGGTGCGTGGCCAGAGGGTGGCGTGGGCACAGGAAATGCCAGTGTCCGTGGCCCAAAATCACTTGTAGGCTGTGAATCCCTGGGGAGGAGTGCAAACGCAACTGGATTTCAAAGGTGCGGCATGGGACTAGCGTTGGCACCTTCGTGTTGGGGGGGCGCGGCGGAGAGGCTAGGGGAATGCCCGTTGGGCCTAGTCTTTGGGGCTGGGGACTGGGCTCAGCAGTGACCCCCTCCCTCGGGATGGGGGGTGGGGCACGCAGAGGAAGAGGATGTCATCAGAGGCCCCTGTGGTTGAACCCAGGGGTTCTAGAGCGGACAGACCTGGGTTCAAATCCTAGGTATGGATCATGGACCACTGCTTTCATTTCTCTGAGCCTCAGTTTCCTGGTCTGTAAAATGGGGGGATGGGTAGAGCCTACTTCTTAGGGGTTACTGGGAGTTTAACAAAGAGGACAGATGTTAAGCTCTTGGCAAGGAACAGGCACTATTGTTGATATTAGTAGTAGTAACCAGAAGGAGAAAGGGAGAGGGACTCTGCAGGAGCTGGTGCTTTGTAAACTGTGAAAGGTAGCTCTGGGGTAAGGAAGGTATCAAGCCACGGTTAGCTGAAGCTGCCAGAAGGAGCACCATTTTGGACCAGGATGAAGGGGCCACTGTCCCAGGGAGTGAGGCAGAGGAGTTAGGCTTTCATAACCCCTCCTGGTTCCCCTTCCCGGTTCCCCTCACTTCCGCTAGAGCTTCCTTCCTCGTTAGAGAGCCTGCCTGGTAAGACCTCTGGGAGTTTCCTCGCCACTGCTGGGGTCACAGGCTGAGCACAGCTTTGGGGATGGAGAGGAGCCTGCCGGAGCAGGCCCTCTGAGACAGGCCTTCCCCACACTGCCTGGCCCCCGCCTCCAGCATGGGGAGACTGCCCAGGCCTCCTTCCCTCCACCCCACTCCCTGGAGGCCGCCCTCCCTCCTATGAGTCATCCTCACTGCGACCAGCCAGGCTGCAGGCTGTCAGCTCCTCACCTGTGGGGGAGACAACCCATCAGGATGGGGGTAGAAGCAAAGGGGCTCAGCCCTTCCTACAGTAAGGGTGGGACAGCTTGGGGGCCAGAGGACCACAGCCGACCCTTTCCTGCTTCTAGGGGCCTGAGCTCCAGAGGGCAGGTATGGGCAGGACTTGGGAGTTAGACCACCCTGGATTTAGGCACAAGGCCCTAGTCCTCTGCTAACTAGCTCTGTGGTCTTAGACGACTTTCTCAGCCTCTCTGAGCCTCGGTTTCTTCAGCTGCCCCATGGAAAGAGGAAACTCATGATGACTCTTAGGGTACTAGGAGGATTAAGTTAGACTCTCTATATGTAAGTCCTGAGCTTGGGGCCTGGCTCACAGTAAGTGCTCAATAAATGTTCATTGACTCAAGGAATGAATGAACGTGCAGCAATGGCAGTGAGTGGGGGGGAGGGGTGGGGGTACACGTGGCTGTCTGCAGGAAAGCCATCCTCCACCTCCACCTCGCTCCAGCCGGGAGAGTGAGGGGGATGTCTGGGGGCCCAAGACACCCCAAAACTCAGGATGGACTGTGGACTCTCCCTTGTGGGTCCAGCTGATGCTTCTGCAAAGCCTCAGGCTGGGTCAGACTCTCCAGGTGCTGAGCCCTGATTGAAAAGAATTGCTGTGTGGGTGGGGCTGCGGATTATAGACCCCAGGACTGCATCACAGTGAGAGCTGTGGGCTGTGAGGTCAGGGCCTTGGACCCCAGGTGGCCAGCTAGGGCTGTGGCCAGCACCTCACCGGCCTCCAGCCCAAGGGGATGCTGGGCCACTTGGTGACCATACCCCAGAGGGCTTTATCATCATCTCAATAGATAGCGTTCTGAGCGCTTACTGTGAGCCAGGTACCGGG